CTCAGAATCAAAGTATATTTTTTTCAGATTGTTATCTATTCTGCACATTTGATTTATGTAGTGGCTAATTTGGAATCTTGGGTCTCGGTTTGAGTTAAACCGTAATCTCACAGTCTCGTCGTCTCTCAAATTTGCTTTACTTTTTTTTTCGACTTGATTCTTTTCTTGAATCAGTAAGTTTCGTACTTTGTATTTTGCTTTTTGGCTTTATTCTATTCAAGCTTCAAATTAAAAGAATCCTCTTTTCTGGGTTTGTTGTTGTTTATTCCTTGCTTGAATGATTTGTCAAATTGGGTTTCTCTACTTTTTATCTTAAATATTTTGTTTTATAAAATTTCTTAAGATTTTGTTTCTTTCTGTCTCAGTCTCACTGATTGATCAGCAACAGTTGCTACTGTAGTATTGTCTTCAAACTTTACATAAATAGGATAAATTAGAGGTGGGACTTTCTTTATTTGGTTGATTTGTTTGGGTAAATTTGTCTATAAAAGTTTTGGTTTTACCAATCTACAGTTTCTGTCTTTCAAGTGGATTGAGGTATTTCCCAAGTCTTTTATCTTCAAGGTAGATAGTTGTGGTCTTTGTTCTTGTGCTTGGTTTATAAAGTTTTGTCTTTTGTCACTTTGAAAGTGAACAAAACTATTTTTACTAAGCTTTGAATATGTATGTGGTGATTCAAACACAAGGCTTATTATGTGTAGTGATTGTTGCCATGGATAGATATTTGTTGTTTTCAGGGGATGCTAATGTGAAGCATTGGATTTGTTTATACTGCAGATTAGTCTAAAGCCGAATTAAGCTGGTGCTTCTTCGGTGAGAAGCAAGATGGATATAAAGTGTAAAGTTCTCGTCTTTCTCGCATTGTTCTTCACTGTGAAAGCAGAGATTTACATTGTGACTATGGAAGGAGAACCAATTATAAGTTATAGAGGTGGTGAGAATGGGTTTGAAGCAACTGCTGTGGAATCTGATGAGAAAATCGATACGACAAGGTAAACCGTTGTTCTTCTCTTCTTCAAGTGCAATCTTATGAACAGCTGAGTTACCAAAGGCTTTATTTGATTTAACGATTACTATTTAGCGTCGTGCTGTGCATGAACAATCTGTTACCTTTTTTTCGGCAGTGAATTGGTGACATCCTACGCCCGTCACCTTGAGAGGAAACATGATATGCTTCTTGGAATGCTCTTTGAAGAAGGATCATACACAAAGCTTTACAGCTATAAACATCTTATAAATGGATTTGCAGCTCATGTTTCCCCTGCTCAGGTGAAATCCGATTCGTCATGGTCCCTACAAATTTCCTTTCAATGCGTATTTTGTAGTCCCTTACATTATTCCGCACCTATTAGTAGGCGGAAACTCTTCGTCGCACGCCTGGTGTGAAATCTGTGAGCAGAGATTGGAAAGTGAGGAAGCTCACCACACACACACCGCAGTTTTTGGGATTACCAACTGACGTTTGGCCAACCGGTGGTGGTTACGATAGAGCAGGAGAAGATATTGTTATTGGCTTTATTGACTCAGGGATTTTCCCGCATCACCCAAGTTTTGCCTCTCACCACACATCAGTACCTTATGGACCTCATCCTAGTTACAAAGGGAAATGTGAAGATGATCCTCATACTAAGATTAGCTTCTGCAACGGGAAGATCATTGGAGCGCAGCATTTTGCTGAAGCTGCTAAAGCGGCTGGTGCATTTAACCCGGATATCGACTTTGCTTCACCAATGGATGGCGATGGACATGGAAGGTTCGTCTCGTTGGTTTTTTAAAACTATGATTTACATTATTGAGTTTTATGAAAAGCTTCTCAGAACTGCTATCCCTGAGCATTTTTTTTTTAAGTAATGCTTTTTTGTTCTGATTAAATAATTATTGGCATTTCAGTCATACAGCAGCTATTGCAGCTGGGAATAATGGTATTCCGGTGAGGATGCATGGCTATGAATTTGGAAAAGCGAGCGGGATGGCTCCTCGTGCTAGGTAAATAGATAAACCTCAAGTGGTGGGTTTAAAGATATTCCCTTTGAATGTCTTTAAAAGTAAAATGCTATTTTGGTCTAGGATTGCTGTTTACAAAGCTCTCTATCGGCTTTTTGGAGGCTTTGTAGCTGATGTGGTTGCTGCCATTGATCAAGTAAGCTAGAACTTACCACAATACTGTATTGGATGAACCAAGTTGCACTAAGCTTTGTCGATTAACACTTGACAATTTGATGAAATGATGATGTTTGTTCCAGATTCTCCAAAAAACTGCTTCTTTGTTCTGTTTAACTGCTAACTTCCTTGAATTATAACATTTGACATTGGTCAATATGCTTCTACAAACTTTAATTATGTAAACATAAAATGCTTTTGTGAGCAGGCTGTTCATGATGGAGTAGATATCTTGAGTCTCTCGGTTGGTCCAAACAGCCCTCCAGCGAATACAAAGACGACATTCTTAAACCCATTTGATGCTACACTTCTCGGGGCTGTAAAAGCCGGTGTTTTTGTTGTTCAAGCCGCTGGAAACGGAGGTCCCTTTCCGAAAACTCTGGTTTCATACAGCCCTTGGATAACTACTGTAGCTGCTGCAATCGATGATCGCAGATACAAAAATCATCTGACCCTTGGAAATGGAAAAATGCTTGCCGGAATAGGATTATCCCGTAACTTTCTCATTTCTCTGATCTATATATCTTATTTTTGGACGAGAACGTTAGTTGGTTTCTTGATGAATCATTATGTGTTTGTGCAGCTTCTACTCGACCTCATCGTTCGTACAAGATGGTCTCTGCAAATGATGTCCTGCTTGATTCTTCTGGCACGAAATACAATCCGTCAGATTGCCAGAAGCCACAAGTCTTGAACAGAAGATTGGTTGAAGGAAACATTCTGCTTTGTGGATATTCTTTCAACTTTGTTACTGGTTCAGCTTCCATCAAGAAAGTTGCTGAAACTGCCAAGCATCTAGGCGCTGCTGGTTTCGTTCTTGTTGTCGAAAATGTTTCTCCAGGAACAAAATTTGATCCTGTTCCTTCTTGCATTCCAGGAATTCTGATTACCGATGTCTCTAAGTCAATGGTAATACATTTTTCGATGCGTTTCACTAAACAGTTATTCATTCCTTCATCTTTTCCTCAACTTGGAATGCGTTTATTTTCTTTCCTAGGATTTGATTGATTACTACAATGTCACGACGTCGAGAGATTGGACGGGAAGGGTAAAGGAGTTTAGAGCTGAAGGAAGTATCGCAGACGGTTTGGAACCCATTCTTCACAAATCCGCACCTGAAGTGGCTCTGTACTCAGCTCGAGGACCCAACACCAAAGATTTCAGCTTTCAGGATGCTGATCTCCTCAAACCAGATATTCTTGCTCCAGGCACTCTTATATGGTCAGCTTGGTCTGAAAATGGAACAGACGAGGCTAATTATGTCGGTAAGCATTTCCTCAAAATCTTATTAGAATTTTCCACAAGTATACTCTATAGTAAGAAATTATATATTTAGTTTTCGACTATTGAGCAGGCGAAGGATTTGCACTAATGTCTGGCACAAGCATGGCTGCACCGCACATTGCGGGTATAGCTGCTCTTGTGAAACAGAAGCATCCTCAATGGAGTCCAGCTGCTATCAAATCTGCTTTGATGACAACCTCAACAGTCATAGATCGAGCGGGAAGGCCTCTCCAAGCACAGCAATACTCTGAAAAAGAGACAGTGACGCTTGTCAAAGCAACTCCGTTTGATTATGGAAGTGGTCATGTCAATCCAAGCGCTGCTCTAGACCCTGGTCTCATCTTTGATGCAGGTAAATTTCTCTTTACTCAAATGACATAAAGTTCTTGGTTCGGTTTATATGCCTATACATTGATTGATTTGTGGTTTCTTGAAGGTTATGAGGACTATTTAGGTTTCTTGTGTACCACGCCCGGTATCGATGCTCACGAGATAACAAACTTCACAAACACTCCCTGCAATTTCAAAATGGAACGTCCTTCAAACTTCAACTCACCATCCATAGCCATCTCTCATCTTGTGAGAACACAAACCGTCACAAGAAGAGTGACGAATGTTGGAGAAGTGGAAGAAACATACACAATCACATCGAGAATGCAACCATCTATAGCCATTGAAGTGAGCCCTCCTGCGATGACGCTTAGAGTGGGAGCTACTAGAAGCTTCTCGGTGACTCTAACAGTGAGATCCGTGACCGGAGTTTATAGCTTCGGAGTGGTTACATTGAAAGGAAGCAGAGGGCATAAAGTGAGTCTCCCTGTGGTTGCTTTGGGACACAAGCGATGAAGACAAAATATAAGATTTTGTAATATTATTATTATATACTGTAATATGTAATAATAATACGAAGGTAGTTTTGTCTGAGTAAAAAAGAATAATACAGTTTGTATAATTAGTTTTCTTTCTCTCTTTATTTTTTTTAAACTCCATTGTAAGAGATAATAATATATATTTAGTAAGATGATTACATGATATAAGTTTCAGCTCTGTTAACTTCTAATTGTCGTTACAATATTTCTCTAAAACTCGTATAACACCCCAACATGAAATTATATTATTCTATTAAAAATGGATCATTTTTGCTTCAGACATTTAATAAGATTAAACTTGTATGTAGCTTAGTGGTTTGTGTTCATTAAAATGTCCTCTGCTTTAGCTCTGTTATTCCTGTAAACTACGTATCTTGTTTTGTCCTAAAGAAAAAAAAAGTGATTTAAAACATTTAAAACAAATAAAATTCGTGTTAAAATTTTACC